GAAAAGATCAAAAACTTTACATTCTTATCTGAATATATTTTGTTAACTGTTTTAGTATTTCTACATTCTTATCTAAATATATTTTGTTAATTGTTTTAACCTTTTCAGCTTTGCCTTCTTTATTTAATAAAACTTTTAAAAAACGTTTCGCAATAAATGAACCACTTGACAAGTGACTTCTTTGAAGTTTGCTAACACGTCGATACTTATTTTTATTAAAACAATTATAGGCGTAAGTTAATTGTTAGTCAACTAGTGTTAGAAAAAGATTGAGTACTTGTAGGAGATATGATTATTTAGGCTGCATTAAAAGTAAATTACTTTTCTCATCTAGCAGCGTAGCTTTGCACGTAACAACTTTAGATTGTGTGCATTTAAAAAATTTTTTGTGTAGTCCAAGAATAAATATTGATAATTGTTGATTTCCCAAAATTGTCATTGTTTAAAGCAAAAGACAACTCAAAGAATAATAGCAAATGATTGTAGGATTTCTTAAAGAGAAATATTATTATCTCTTTAAGTTATTAGTACTTAAACAAAATGCAATAATGTTTGACATATTAAAAAGTTTAGAAAAGTTTTCATTTTAAGGAGTGTAAGGCAGCAACTATCTTCAAATATATAACAAAAATATATATACATAAATATATATGCATATATATATAAATATATATATATATATATATACATATATATATATATATATATATATATATATATATATATATATAATATATATTATATATATATATATATATATATATATATATATTCGCATACACATATATAATAATAATAATAATATAAGATAGTATAATAATAAGTAAACTAATTGTAAGTATTTAATAATATTAACTTAATGGTTGATATGGATCATGCCACTCAAACAAAATTCTGATCAAAGGAAAGTTAATAGTTTTTAATTATAATATGGTGAATAATAATTATACACACATATAACATACATAAACAATTAAAGACTTAAAAGACCATACTTTGATGATAAAAATAAAAAATAAACAGACATGAATTTAATGATAATAGTTGTAGTAATTATAATTAAAAAAATCAGATTTTAAAAGTTAAGTGAAAATCATATTAAAAAGTTAGAACAAAATTGTTTACAAAATTTTTTACCGTCAAATACCGCCATTCGTGGCTGCATGGACACAATTCGATACATGTTTGATGTTTGTTGTTCTCTCTCATGTTTATGTCATTGTAAAAAAAAGTTGTTGTTGCTAATTCATAGACTTATGAATTAATAATGATGATTTTAAAG